TGAGGATGACCCTAATTGTGGTAGGTTTGACCACAAGAGAAAATGTTTATGTAAAATCAAAACCTTGCTCCTGATGAAAACCTTTGGCAACTAATCTTACCATGAAAACCTTTGGCAACTAATCTTACCTTGTATTTATTAAGACTCCCATCAACATTGTGCTTTAGTTTGAAGACCTACCTACACCCCAAAAACTTTCTATCAGGTGGTAGGGTGGTTAAAGACTAGGTTTTATTAGCTTGTAAAGCATTATTTCATCCTGCATAGCTTTATCCAAAGAGGGTTTAAGTAGAGCTTGTTTGAAGCTGGTTCGTTCAGACTCAGTTTGTGCTATAAAAGCCTTAGGTTTGGAATGACCAGTCTTGGATCTAGTGAGCATGGGATGACTGTTTTTAGTTGGTGACACCAAAGGTTTACTGCTAACAATAGTAAGAGATTGAGAGAAGTCTAAAATGGGAATACAGGAGGAAATAGTAAGTTCATTAGAGCAGAAAGAATTTTTGGGAGGAGAAGTAATGTTGTGACTTGGAGACAACTCAATGTCAAGAGGAGAATTTTTCTGATTAGAATCAATAAGGGGAGTTTCTAAGATTTTAGACTTAAGTACTGAAAAAGATACCTCAAGAATATTGTCCTCTGGACTTTCAAGAGTATTTTTGGAGGAATCACTTTCACGATCCTTTGGATAAGAAAAAGTATTAGGTTCAATATTAGTGACAGTTGGCAAGGGATTATAATTGCAATAAGCTGTATTATTTAATGATGCAGACCTATCAGGGTTATGTAGGATTTTAGAGTCTAATGCAGTAGCAGAGTGTGCAGACTTATGAGATAAGATATGTGAGACAGTAGAAAAATGAGGCATAGTTTGATCCTGAGGGGACTTGTCATGAATATTGTTAGCAGACTTAGTCTGGTCAAAAGAATCTGGCACAAATAGGATACCTCCCTGTACTATATTAGGTTGTATGACAGACACATGTGTTTGAGAGTCAATAGGAATGGCTGGATGAGATAAAGGTAAACTAGTGCCAGATAGGATAAGACATTGACAATAGGTCATTTGAATACCACCATTAGAGGTATTCAGTGGGGAGCATTCACCAGGAAACAATTTGGAGAAGGGAAATCTACTTCCATTAGGACTCAGACATTTGTATCCTCTATGTTGGGGAGATATACCCAAATATACACACCATGTGCTTCTGAGTTTCTTTTGTGCAGGTTAAAAGGTCTAAGTAAAGGAAAACATGAGCAACCAAAAGTTCTTAGAGACTTTTAATCCGGATGTTTTCCATAGAGAGCATGAAAGGATGAATGAAACTCTTTTAAAGGTGTGGTAGGTAACCTATTTATAATATGCACAACAGTAGTAAAATAATGATCCTAATAAGATAGAGGTATCGATGAATGAGAGAGCATAGTAAGTCCCATTTCAACAATGTGTCTGTGTTTTCTCTCAACACTTCCATTTTGATGGGAGGGGGTGAGGGCATGTAAGCCTAGTATCCCTAACTCAGCTTAGTACTTGGTAAAGGGTCTATACTCACTACCAAAATCAGACTAAACAGACCTAATAGTGACCTGAAACTGAGTTTGGATGAACTTATGAAACAATTTAAATGCTTGCAAGGCCTCCGATTTTTGTTTTAAAAGATATAACCAAGTGAACTTGGTGACCCGTCTTCAAATTCTATATAGTATTTAAAGCCAGTATTAGAGGGAGAGGGTGAAGGACCCCACAAGCCAGTATAAATCACATCAAAGGGTCGATGATAAACAATATTAGTTAAAGGAGCATGAATTCTATGGGCTTTACCAACATTGCAAGGAGTATAGAAATAAGAATCTTGTTTATTAGAAGTATGAACATTACAAGATTTCAAAATATGAGATACAATTTTAAAATTGGCATGTCCCAGTCTATGGTGCCAAAGTATACTAGGATTACATTTAGTAGTACTATGAGACTCAGAGCTAGAGTCTACATAACTATGAATACAAGAAAGAAGGGTAGAGTTTTATTCAAGCTGAGTGGACTGGTGAGATCCAACGAGTGCTAAGGAAAGCAGTACAAGCCATTTCCATCAATTGTGCCTTCAACCAAGACTTGCTTAGAAGCCTGAGATTTAATGTAACATTTATCAGGTAGGAATTCAAAGATAACAATATTATCACTAGAGAACTTAGACACAGATAACAAATTTCTGGTGATAGAATGAACTAGAAGGACATCAGATAGACTAAGTTTGAAATTAGGAATTAGCTTAGAATAGACATGTATAGATATTACAACTTGAATGGTAAGAGTTTGACCATTGCCTACATAAACTCTATTAGATCCTAAATAAGGTTTTTGATTTTTCAAAAGAGAAGCACGGGGAATGAGGTGATGAGTGGCACCTGAGTCTGCAAACCATGACTGTGACTCCAAATCAGCAGGTAAAGAATACTCTTGAGTGTAGGCACCAGGGTGCTTTGTTGTAGCCATCATATCCATAGCTGGATTGTTGGGAGTTTGATCCCGAGGAGCATTCTCATTGACAGTGGCATTATTTTTAAGTTTCTATGAGTATTGGATGCCTCTGGTGGCGCAAAGTTCTCATCAAATTGATGCCAACAAGTGGCCAAAGTATGCCCATATTTGCCACAGAGTTGGCATGTGGGGTGATTTCCAGTTAATTATTTGTCTCTACCACGACCATCAGCATGAGTAAAGATGTTTCTTATTCCTCGACTTCCCGAGTAAGCTCCACTAGAGCCACAACCTTCCTAATTTGCATGAGCAATGTTAACAGCAATGGTAGTTGCGGCCATATCTTGGCGAAACTTGTCTAAATAAGCTTCCTGAACATACAGTAATGCTTCAACATCATAGAGATTGAATGGAACATGACTACCATACATATGCATAATGAACAGATTAAACTCCTCTGGAAGTCCTTCAAGAATAGAATCAATTTGATCTTGTTCGGTTATCGAATCTCAACTGCGAGAAATGAATTAACAATAGCTTTGATGCGGAGAACGTACTCAATGATTGATTTGATGCCCTTCTTGGTGGATTTGAGCTCAACACGTAATTGGCGAACTCTCGCTTTCATTTGAGAATTGAAATACTGATGAATCTTGTCCCAAGCCTCAAAAGTGTGCTTACATGCAAGAACCCTAGGTAGTACTGATTTAGAAATTGTAGGTGGTAGCCAAATGAAAACAACTTGATCTTGCATAATCCAAGCCTCATACTCATCAGAAATCGTACCTTCAAGGTAATCTTGCGCAGTTTTGAATTTCAGCGGAATTAGCGGGTTAACCACAATTTTATGCATCTTCTATGTGAGAATATCACACCTTCAACTTGTTGATTCCAGAGAAAATAGTTATTTTCTTATAGTTTAATCGAGAGTTTGAGACCAAATCTATTGTTGGAATTGGATGATGAGAAGACGGTAGCGACATCTTGTATGTGTGGGGTACCTTTGACACCGGATTCTTGTTTATCACCAGACTCCATTGATGAGCAATTTGAGCTTCAGAAGGATGAACTGGTGCGACAAAAAGGAAGACAAAGAACGATTATGAGAAAAGCGTGGAAGATTGCACCGCAAATGATACTATATTGGAACTGAGTTCTTATCTACAAACCACACAGTAATCAAGATGAAGAAAAAAATGAAAGATATAAGATGTATATTACAGTATCAAAAGATTTAAAGTATTATCTCAATTAACAATACAATATTACCCTATATATAAAAGGGCCAACCACAAATAGACACAATGACACACTTATATTAAGTCACCTAGGCAATATCTAATAGTAGCCATAAACAATAGGCAACTCTTATTTAGAAGACATTTGAAAAGTATCTCTTATTCTTTTAAGCAACATTTTTTATTATTCTAGCAACAGTTTTTAAGTGTTCTTAGACGCGATAAATCTTGTAGTGCGTTAACACTAAATTGGCTTGGTTTCCAACCGCCTCTCATAAAAACTACCATGGTAGTTGATTACTACTCGCCTCACAAGCACTTACAAAACCGAATCTTAGTATTTTACTGGCGATGAATACCTCGTTATAAGTCAATTAATAAGTTTGATTATTGACATTATTTTCTTCGTGGTTTATCACTGGACATAAGTGAATTTCTTCCTCTAATTCATATTTATCGGAGGAGTTTATGTCGTTCTCTCTCCCATGCAATCATTACTACAAAAAAAAAACATTTTATCTCATGTTTGAAATGGATTTAACCTCGACTACATAAGTGAGGTAACAAAGAGAATCATGAAAAATTGTCACTTTAGTTCTCTGTGTTTTAAAAATCGAAGGATAAAATTACCTGCACATGAGTTCGAACTCCTACTTCTGCATATTTATTATTTTCAAAACTAGTGCATCATACTTCTCCATTTATAATAAAATCGAGGGATAAGATAGATTGCGTTTTAAAAAGAAAACTCGTTACATTGTTTCATAGAATATTAGTAAATCAATTTGTATATAAACTATATTGTTTGTCCAAAATATTATACTGTTTACACAAAATATTAAAGTAAAAATTAATTTCTCTTAATATCTGATTTTAGATCTTTGAATCATTGAATTTCGAAGAAGAAAAAAATGTTTAGTGTAGGAAATTTTCAATTGATTTTGTTCGCATTTGTTTTTGAAATAAAATAAAATAAAAGGATTAGATAAATATATGATTTTGTGCTCAAATAAATAGTTAAGAACACAAACCTTAAACCCAAATAATTTTCTTCTCTTGCAATCTATCATAGAGATATTTTCATGAAAAATGCTCTTGCAAAACTTAAAGTGATGGATGTAGATAGTTTCAAGCGCTTCATGATGTTTCATTGTAATTTTTTCTATATATTCAGAATATTTTGTAATGAAATTTTTTTATGTTTCACGCGGATCACTAATGATATTGTCATGAGCGTTGATACTCATGAAATGGACGACAAAGATTTGGTTAATGACGCAATCAGTATCCTCAATAATCACATTAAATTATCCCCTCGATTTTGATAGAAACTGAGGTAAAATATGTTTACTCAGTTTTAGTAGAAAGCTTGAGGTAAATAAGTTTTTTTTAACATTATATTATTTATACAGAATATTAAAATTCATCATCATCGCTATTACTTCAGATTTTGTTGCATATGTTGAATCGAGAACGAGATTCTAATCCTTTCAAAGGATAAACTCTCTTCTTTGTTTATAATTTGAATCAAGAATGATTTTATGCACTTTCAATCCATCTTAGAGAATTTTTCTAACCTTCTTTAACTTGAAACAAAGATTACATTATCTTGAGCAAATGCTTTCACAAGATAATATAATATATAGTGGTGGATGTAATAGTTTGTTGTGGATTAATGTCTTGGCAATATCATGAGTGTTAATCCTTTATGAATATAGGGTATATATTCGTTGTTGTAGTTGTGTAACAAGACCCCTCAGTTTTGTTAAAAAACCAAGAGGAAAAATATTTTTTTTTTTAATTAAAAATAGAATAAAATAAGGAAACCCCTTAATTTTAGTAAAAATTCGAGATAATAAGTTTCAAGGAAAATATGGTGAATGATTAAAAATTTGAAAGTAACATGTCATGTTTTAATTTCAATTTTTTACTTGTCACCATTTTTTACAGCATATTTAGGAATAAATTTCTCAATGTTATCAACTAAGAAAAACAATGATATTTTATTTGATTGATAACATATGAAGGTTACTCCAAAAATAAAACAACAACAACACCGTTATGTGAAATACATTGTAAGGACATAGAAAATATTTTGTTTAAAATAAAAGAACACATAACATTGAAGACTTTTCTATCTTGCAATTCATCCTAAAAAATGATATATACGAGTTTGAGGCGACAATATGTAACACTACAAAAAAATCACGTAAATTGTGGCGTTTACTTAAATTGGTCCTGTGTTGCTCCAATCCTGAGTTTCACAATCAGTCGTTCTGCTGCTTGGAAATCTACAGTTCCACAATCAGAATTTCAAGGTAAAGTCACGGTTTCTCTTTTCTATGCTAATATGGAAATTTCTGGACAAACATGTAAGAATTTAGGAGAGTTGAGTCTTCTAAATTGAGGATGTGATTCCTTCTCTCTTAATTGGTATGTTTGATATCAAATTGTTTTCCATGAATGTTTTAGTTTCATCTCAAAATTTACATTTCTCAGTTCATTATTGTTTTTGAAGTTATTTTTCGCTCTACAAATTAAAACTGTGTAACCTATCGAGAATTCGTAATATTGTACAGTTCAATTTCCAATTGTCCTTTCAATTTTCCCTTTTTAAATTGTCAACTTTTTTAAACGGATGGAGGAGAAAATGAAGTTTAGGGCTTTGAAATTTTTTTAAGGCTTCGGTTCTCATGCAATCAATTTAGAATTCCTAATGCTTTCTTTTTTAATGTGGAGTATTCTACATTGACTTATTGAAAATAGTTTTAGAAAGGTTGAACAAATTCTATAAATTTCAAAGGCTCAATAAATCTAGAAATTTAAAGTAGGAATGTTATAATATATTATGCGTAGTACGTTTGTAAATAGTAAGGGCGTTGATCCTTTTTCAGGCTCCGTGTTTCTTCTATTGGATTCAAAGCATCTGTAAGATCAAAGATAAGGATAGGAAGTGTCACGGGCCGTAATTCATGACTTCATATGTGATGATGAGTGTTTGGAAAATCCAAATCATACTATAGAGATTTGTTAAATGTCTGATAAAAGTAAACTATGACCTTGATTCCTACAACTGTTGTCACCGAAGAATTCTAGAAGCTCATGGAATTACATCTGCTCCAATGATGATGTTATATGTATAAAGTTAATGTTATATTGAAGGGAAGTAATATATTAAAGGTTAGAATGAGTAATTGTTGTCATGTATCTAATAAATGTGATATTTGCAATCTGTATTTAAAAAATAGAAGTAATAATATCATTAAATACAGTAGTATTATTGCAGAAATGACTTTTTACATCGGGTGAAACTGATTTTTTACATCGGTTCTGGGTCCGATGTAAAGTCAGGCGATATAGTAAATCAGAGACTTTTTACATCGGTTCTGGGTCCGATGTAAAAAGTCCCTTTTTTACATCGATTGTGATCTAAGACTGATGTAAAAAACAATTATAACATTATTTTAAAAAAATTGACGCAACATTTTACAACGGTTAAACATGCGGACCGAGGTAAAAAGACCATTTCTTACATCGGTTGTGATCTAAGACTGATGTAAAAAATAATTATAACATTATTTTAAAAAAATTGACGCAATATTTTACATCGGTTTAACGTGTGGACCGATGTAAAAAGTCCCTTTTTTACATCGGTTGTCATCTAAGCCCGATGTAATATATACAATTTTGAAAGTTTTTACATCAGTTGGGAGTAATAACCGATGTAAAATGTAAGAAATTTTTTTAAAATAAATTATTTATTTTCTGGATGTTTCCCTTAAAAAA